GTATATATATATATATATATATATATATATATACGAGGGGGGGACTGTAACAAACAAACAGAATAAAGATTACAATCATAGATCAAGCAAAAAAAAAAAACAAGTAGCGGGAATCATATATATATATTTAGAAGACCAACAACCTATAAATGTCTCGTTACTCATCGTGTATCACCCCAAATACATGAAGCACAGTTCATACCTAGGTGGGACAAACCGCAAACACAGCAGTCCTCTACAACTTGAATTCCTGTGTTACACTGTCAAAAAAAAAACATCTGTGGGCAAATTCTGATGGTGGCAATCAGTGTATACCCATGACAAGCACCGTGTTCTGCTCTCATACTTACTTTATGCACGTCCCTCACCACAAAAACAACAATGGCTCAACCAATCTATAATTCCAATGACCGCAACCTTGAGCATTTACAGACCCTTTCAGACCTGGCACCTCTCGGTTGCACTTCCAGACGTAAACATCATCAATTGGTGCGTCTGATCTTGAGTTCAGACAAGAAGCACCATGAAAGCCTGTTTGTAGGACACTGGATTTGCAAGAATGACACTTAAAGGGAATTAACTCATTGTACGAAATAGTTGCGTGACAGAACTCGCGATGGTTATCCACGGGCAAATTTGGCCGAATGTAGCTTTTCCCGCAGCCACGGCATTGTCTTTGAAGGTATGGAGAGCAAAGGGCATTGTGGTCCCGTGGGTGAATATGACCACAATGTTGACACGTCATAACACGTATCTTTTTGGATTGCAGTGACAGATAGACAACAGAATGTTTACTATAGAGTGAGTTGCAAAAATTACAGGTATATGCACCGCGGCAGTCACTCAAACATACTTCACAGCCAGTGAGACAAGGGTGGTTGCGTTTACCACATCCACATACCCAAGGCTCTAGCGGTGTCGCAATGCAACCAACTCTGCGCCTTCCGGGACAGCGTTGGTTGCATTGCGATGACGTCCAGTGATTGTACCCCTCACACGCATCGTAACACCAAAGAAGTGGTTTCTTGTCTGCATTTGCCGTATAACATAAGGGACACAAGATACTGCACGTTGACTGTATGTTATTTCACAAAAGGAACATGCCCGGGTTGCACGTTCCTCACGATAAGTATTGCCACATCGAACGCAGATACCAGAGGCATCGAACACATCCCCACAATTCACGCACAAGTTAAGACACATCTCAGCTGCTTTGAGCCCTCTTGGATTTTTTGAATCCGCAGATACAACTCTTCTCCGCATCTTTGTCTTTATGCTCCGTCTCACACACAACACAGGTCCAAGCCGTGTTGCATCGTCGCATGCACATTAAATACTGTTTTGCAGAAGCTAGAAGTTGCGTTCCACAGCCACATTTCCACCAAAACTATGTCTCATCTACCACCCAAAAATTTTCTAACAAAGGACGAAGTTTTGGATTATCACAAAGTGATAGCCCATTCAAGCGCATAGAGGGAAAACAATCCCCTTGAAGAGTCTTGATGAAATCCTGCACAAGAAAGGATGCACGATCCCCGTGAAATTTCCAAATAGAGGCCTGCCAGCATCTTTCGTCTCGGTAGCGGTCTCTTGACGATGCAGTGCCATCGTCGCATTTAAAGCCTGAAGAAGAAGACAAACCATTAATCAGACTACAAAAAACTAAGAGCAATAACAACTACACATATACCAACTGCATGCACAAGAAGCTCAAAAATAAAAATAAAAATAAAAAAACAAGCAAGCAAGTGTGCAAAGGGACAATAGCATCAGCAACCAAAATGCTGAACCGTAAAAAAAAAAAAAAAAAAAAGAAAAGA